GATGGGGTTCATTCACCGGTGGATAGATCTCCATGACATAGGCATTCTCCATAGCATACCCAGGTAGCGCCAGGCAGTCCTGCCCCAGGACACATGTGCGGGCAGCGTGCATCCAAGTGTTTGTAGGACACGGGCATTCCTTTGCCAGTAGATGCTCCCCATAGACCTTCACCGTGTCCATGCCATGTAGTGGTGATCTCGACCGCTCACGACCACCCAGAATGTCGGCAAAAGTGCGGTGGGGACCAAGGGAGCGGCTTTGTTGCATCAGGCTTGGTCCCACCGCAGCCTGGGCACTCGGCGTGGAGGCTTCAGAGGGCGCTGCTGCAGAGGATGTTCCTGCCGGACATTGCCGTTGCCTCTTCATCTCTCTGAGATCCTCAGGGTCCAAGACCTTGACCAGAATGAAGTCACCTTCTCTGACCTCGAAAGCCTCTTGGTGCACCGGCTGGCCATTTCGGTAGACCAACGGCAAGTCACTGGTGGCCTCAAGCTGGGCAACATTGAACCATTGCTGATATAGGTACCCCTTGGTCAACAAAGGAGGGGTCTGGAGCACCTTCACGTGCAGCGCGATGTCCCTATGGAGCCCCACCAACTCCAGCTCCGCAACGATGTGCACCAGATCCGCCGTCTCTGATGCGACGTAAAAAACCTCCACCAGATCGCGGAGGAGGTCCGAAGTGTGGTAGGCCCTGTGGGTTTGGTCAAGGTGCCAATGTGGGTGCGCCACTAGCACCGGCCATCGTGTTTTGGCCCAGGACTCCAGCCAAAGCTGGTAGTGGTACACTTCCAGGTGGACATGCGCAAACAAAGTGCGAGAGTAAATGCCCTCCCCAGACGGTAGGAGGATCACCGCCCTGCCTTCCTTCATGTAGCATTCTTCGAACACATCTGGCGGGAGTCCTGCAGGAGACAAGTTGTAGGCCAGGTCTGCTTCAGCCACGCCAGCCGTGATCAAATCCATGTAGAGCTGCTGTACTTGCCGCCAGAGGAAGACCACATGGATGGAATCTCCCACTCGTAGGTGCATCCTCCCGTATGCAGGCTGCCTGATTCCATTGACCTGCACACTCACATCCAAGGCAGAGGGAACCTCGACCAGAAAATAAGAGAGCAACTCGTCCCTCGTCATGAGCAATGGGACAGTTCGTGCTTCGAAAAAATGATGCACACGCCCAGCGCAACTGGAAGGTCCACTCAATCACAACCGCCGGATATGCATCTTGTTCCAGGAGGACTGCCGGTGGGATAGTCAAAATGACCATACGCCCATGGTAATCAAACATAGAAGGCATGAGACGTAGCATGATGAAATCCCAATGAAGACCACGCAAATGCTCCCATCTGCGCTCAACCATGTTCACAAAAGATTGTCCATGCCAATTTTGGATGACAAACCCGTGCATGGCCTCCCGTCCATCAGCAAGAAATAGGACAACCTGAGCTAGGTGGGCCATGTGCGTCACCAAAGCATCAAAATGATCATCCATTTCCGCATGGAAAAGAGCACGGTCAACAATCTCTTGCCGCTCCTCCGACCAACTACTGCCAGCTGCATCATGCTGGCCGAGATCAAAAAGGGCCACTACATCATCATCAAGAATTTGTGGCTGCACCTGAGGCATCACCGCAGAAACACAGATTTGTTCGATCTGCTCCACATACACATCAATTCGCTGCCATCCCCGTAGTGCAACCCGATCATTGTAGAAGGGTGCCACACCTTCAAGGAAGCAGGCACAGTGCAGTCCCGGAGCATGGCACATAGCAAAGCCTCCTGCCGCCTCCAGGACCTGCTGACAAGACACTGGGTCGCAAGTAGAGACTGGGATATGTCTTGTTTGTGGCCTGGATGGCGTGCCATAGTGAAAGACCACTAAAGAGGGTACACCACCCCTTTGCCCTTGTGCTAGGATCTCAAAATGATCCTGATGGCCTTGCAAAGCTTGATCCGGTTGAGGAGTCACAGCACCGATCCAGAGATCCACCTGTGGGGCGAAATCTTCATGAAGGGCAGCCCTGACCTTGAGAATCAGGCTGCTAGGAGTCAGTGCCATAATGTCCCCCCCAATCTGTTGTCCATGTCCGGTGTTTGAAATCAACATGTCTCACTCGCAAGAGTGGTGTAGTGCCCATCATCCATAGAAAGGCCGTGGCATCCATGTTGAGACGATCCAAGCTGCGAACCTCAGTATGACTCTCCCACAACTGCTCCAGCTCCCCATCGAGCCTCCTTGGTGGAAAAGAAGTGTCAACCTGGAAGAAGGAAAGCATGTCCTCCTGCATTGGGGCATCGTCACTCAAACCATCAATATCAGATGCATGGTCATCAGCAGCGGAGTGAATTGCCTCCGTGCGTGAAGAGGAGGTCCCAACATAGGTCGAACAAGAAGAAGCATCATTCCAGGATGGCTCATACACGTGGCCACATTGCAAACGGATGAATGAGCCAGGCGTAACCACAATTGCCTCCCCATAGTTAGCCAACGTGGGAAAAAGCACCAAACACACCTCCGTGTCACAGTGACAAGGCGGATCCCACAAAGCAAAAAGTTCTGCGGAGTCAATCCACGCCATGCCATAGGGTCTGTCTAAAATGACAGTTCCCTGCAAAATGCTGTCAGGGACACGCACTTGAATCATCAAGGGAAGGCAATAGGTGTGCTCATCCTGGTACAGTATTACATCACGTAGAGAGGAAGTTTCCGGTGGGGGTTCCACAGGTTGTGCCAAAATTCTCTTCTCCTCACCCAGTGGCTGGATGAAAGCACGGAATCTACCATTCCCAGTGTGCAATGTTGATCTGATACCCTTCAACTCATCACTCCTCACATAGTGGCGAGCCGAGAAGGGATGCCTCCACAGACGAAAAAGTCCGAGCTCCAAACCATCATAGAACACAGACCACCGCAACGGAATCGCAGCCGCCAGCTGCATAAATGAGGCATATTCTACAGGCTCACGCACATTCTCCATTCCAGAGGGTGCTTCAAAGGATGCGTCGGGGGCACGGGCCAGCAGGCATGAGCCACCGCACCCGCTCGTTAGGCGCTCCGGTCCCCCAGCATCCCGAGCACACCTACCCCTGCTGTCTACCAAAACCCGGTCACCAACCGGTTCATAACTGTCATGGAGACTATCATGTCCATGCACCAGTCCAAGACATAGGCACAAACACAAAAGCCCTCCAACACCAAAGTTGCGCCTGGAGGTAACAAATGGCCCCCTTTGGGCATTCAAAGAAATGGAGCCCGAGCCAAAGCCTGAACTCGCGCTCTCTGGAAGTGAATCATAGTCCAACATCTCCTCCCTCAAAACTCCATGAGTCAAAGCGTCAGAGGAAAAGGGTGCCCACTCCTTCCAAAGAAGCCGGCACCAGACACAAAGACCAGAGACTAGGCTTCCAACCCACAGTGCAAAGCTAGCATGCCACCAACAGTCTGCCAATCCCCTTGCAGCCTGCCGAAAGTGCAGCCAAGACACTAGGTGAGGTAGTCGAGACGAACGGACTCTCCACCATCCACTATAGTCCTGGTACTCGTCAAAGAGCTCCACCTTCCCATGAGCAGAACTTCTCATCCTTTCGCCTGACCTGCTCCAGCCCCCGCTGAAGTCAGCCCTGCCTCTTGCTTGACTTTCTTTGGAATACCCCCCAGTGGCTGCTCTGCTTGCCTGGTCGGTGAAGCTTTGGTGCGTCCAAAGCATGGAACAGGCTGATGCTCTGTCAAGTCTTCCTCGTCTGAGCCAATGTCCACCTCGATGGGGTCCATCATCTGAAAGCCTCCCGTGACCGGGCCGTCCGCAGGCTCTTCCTCTGCCAGATTGTGGTTCATGGCAGAGTTCCTGATGCGTTCCTGGATCTCGTGGAGCTTCATCTTCTTGTTCTGCAAGTCTTCTAGGGCAGCTGCTCTCTTCTGCTTGTATTCTTCGTGTTCGGCATTGTAAGCAGCCTGCAACCCATGGTTGAATTGCTTCCACTTGGTATCGACCTCCTTGAGCTTCCCCTTGGCTGCCTCGTATTGCGTACGAGCTTGTCGAGCTCGATTGAGGTCTGTGTGTGTGATTTCTAGCTTTGGCACCGCAGCTGGAGCCTTGGCTGCCGCCAAGATGTCCTGCTCCAACTTGGGGGTAAATGCGCTGCCCAAGCTCTTCTGCAGGCTCTCGATGTGCTGCTTGACCTCCACTGGCACCTCCTCCTGCTCTGGCACAGGTTTGGGTGGAGGCGGCAAAAGCGGTGGGGGCGGCACATCCTCTAGGTCCGTGGATACCCTTGCAAGTCGGCTCTCCGGAGTGCTCTTCTGCCATGGTTGACCAGCACCCGTCCAATCCATAAAGGATGGGAGCATGGGTTTTGGCGTCTCCGGAGCCTTGGTTTGCTTTTCCTTGTTCTGGCCTTGGCTCTTCTGTTTGCGCTGAGACTTGGACCGGGATTTTTTTCCTCCTGTCCATGCACTGTTCCCACCAAGCATGGCAACTGGTGCAGTGCATCTGGAGGTAGGTCATGGTGACCGCACATCTCCGGCAACTCCATGTCTGACTCTGCATGGCTGCGACAGCAGGGATATGGGATCCGTGATGGTGGATCAAGATGCGGACAGCTTTCCGTCCACGTCGAAGCTGTCTGACCCCCACAATCCCCGGCCGCCTGCTGTGCAAAAAGGATCGAGCCCGACTCCTGCACCTTCTTAGATTCCGGTGCCAAGTCGGTTCTTTTCCTCGCAGAACCAGCGTCTCTGCACAAACCACCAAGGACAACCAGGTGGCCGACAAGGAAAAAGGTCGGCAGCCCCCCCCACCATGCACCGGCAAAGGAGCTACCTAAGGATCTCGCCTAATCACCACCCCAGGGGCGACTGAGGTGATGACACGGAGCCTTCTCATGTCAATCATGTCAACAAAAGAAACTTGAACAACACACAAAAAATAAAATAAATAAACGGTGATAAACAGGTTTTTGTTTTTTACAAAACAACGACGGAAGACATCCGCCAAGTTTCTGCCCTTGACGTTTTGACTTTCATCCTCTTCCTTCGATTTCTCACCGCCCGCGGGGGCTTTCTTCACCCATGCGCTGTGCCCTCCCTCCCGGCGCCCCGGTGCCATCGGCGGGCACCGGGACCGAGGAGAACTGCCGGGTGGGAGCGCTCCGTCGTTCGCTGGCCGTAATGGCTACGGTGTGAGAGAATTGGACATGTCGAATGTTTTGCCAAACATGTCAGATGATGATGTTCATGTCGTGCAAATGCAAGGTGCATCTCTTGAAAGGATCCCTTGTTCGAGGGATCTCTTGCTATAATGATACTGCACTTTTGCTGCTACTCTTTCGCATCTGATGCACGTTTCAGGCAACAAAGATTTAATCAAGTTATTATGTTCATCCCATGTATATAAATCCTCATGCAGGATGTTGAAAATCTAATCCCTGACATGATGCCAGGTATTTCTGACATCAAATCTCTCCACTTTCGATCATTATCGACCGTCGTTGCTCACGTGAATTTCAGGCAGATGGTGGGGCTTGGTGGAAGGGGCCAGCTTGGTGACATGCAGGGCTTTTGGGCCTCTAAGGCCTTTGGTTTTGGCATAGATCTTTGGTGCATGTTGTGAGAGGCTTTTTTCATCGGTGCTTGCTTTGGCTGCTATGGCTGTTGCTCTTGTGCTCTTCTGTTGCTTGTTCGGAGATGTTTGTACACTAGCTAGCAAAGGCAAACAAGCAAATTCAGCGAGTTTCTGTAAATCTTGGTGGGCCTTGAAGGATCTTGCCTTTGACAAAAACTGAATGTACCTCTGATTTCAAGCACTCAGCATCTCTTCAACAGGAAACGCGAACCTGATTGCCTACACATGCCACATCTATTTACTGCTAAGCAACTCTGTGCAACTCGCGCAGACTCGATTGTTTCTTGATCTTCGCGCATGCCACTCTCAACCAACGGGAGCCTTTCTTGAAAGCGGCACATTGAACGTATCAGCAGCAGTGTAGTTCAACACTTGTGACATATCATATCACCGGTGTGTCTTAGGCACTGCTGAAATCGAAGCTGATTGGAGGTGTTTGACTCTCTGAAAGGGTTAAGACCCTAAACTAGGCCAGCAAATAGATCCCCCATTGACAAATGCTACGCCCCAAATCGTGAATCCCAGGGATCTCTCCAATATATATATATAGAAGGAGCTAAGCATGAGGTATGTTCGATAGAGTTCAGCTGCCATAACAGAACCAAACTGACAAGGCCAAGGCTTCTTCATGCTCATTCCCTTGTATGTAATGACACGGGAGGGGAACAAAAAAAAGACAAAGTGTCGGTCTCATCCAGAGGTTTACGGGATTGGGGTGTAGGGGAGTCTCAGTGTTTTAGAGTCCCACAACACATTCTCCGATGCAGTCCATTGGGACACTGCGGGGGTCGGGCTGTGCTACACTGCCACGGATGGATCAGCTGTCCTATGCACAAGTCGAATCTGATCGCCATGGATCTGCTGCGCCACCACTCTTCTGGATGAAGGAGGGCCGGGTCGGATGATGCTTTCACTGCCATGGTGGCCTGAAATCCTTCTGGTCTCCACTCATTATCTTTACCATCAGCTCTCGTTCAACAACAAACTACATGAAGTGGGACAAGTGGGATATATATAGTGAGGAATGTGAGGGATAGATGAAGTTGATGACTCATATGACTCATGAATATGGCAAGGATGCAATGCAAACCAGCTTATCACTTCGGTGCACCCACCAAAACACCTGCGATTGCTTTTCTCTGCGTTCCACGCAGAACCGTGGAGCCTCTGGAGCTTCTACGCTCTCACTGACGCTCCAGGCGCCGCGCGGCCAGGCGGCAGCGGCACTTGGCGCGGCGGCTGCCCGGGCGTGTAGGTCTTCGCGCGCTCGTCGATGACGCTTTGCGCCGACCAGTTGCCCAAGATCTGAGCGGATGCCGTGGTAGGGGTAGAGCAAAGAAGCTCTGAAGTGCTCTGGTCAGGAACATTAAGAATTTGGAAAGTTCTACATTCACAACAAGAGAACAACAAAACACAGAACATGTCCTGCTCGATCCTACTGCCTTCTAAACGTAAAACGTATCCAACACCAAGCTCCCCATCCTCTTCACCTTCACCGGCTTTCACTTCACCCTCACCCCAAGGCGCGTAGAAAATGAAGCCCGTGGTCATGAAGCTGAAGCCCGTGACTCGGGCATATCGCTCCAAGTTGTTCAGCTGCTGGCAGGATGGAGTTGCTGAAGAGCTGGGCTGGTAGCTGGGGTAGCTGGAGCAATGCTGTGAAAATCTTACTATGTCTGAACCCAGTAAGTCCACCTGTGTTCGTCAAAGCCACAATGCTCTTGTTGTTGAGGGCTGCCTAAGACTTAGACTTACAAGACATTGTCAAAAGGTGTGGGACCTGTCGATGAACATGTGGGGTTCCCCATCACTGATTCAGAAACATAACAGACTCCATTGAAGCAAGTCCTTGAATGCTAGAAAACACAAGACAAACAACAAACTGTGTTTCAGTTTCACACCCTATTCCAAAATTGTGTATACGCAAGCGGTCCCAAATTGTGTGGCCGTGCAACCAAAAGCGGACATGATCAGGAAATGGGTTTCTTCGGCCAGCGGGCCAGCCGTATCACCAGCATGGGTGAGTACGTGCTTGTCGAAAATAGCCTCAAACATCCAAATGTGTCATTATGGGGGCATGGTAACGGAATAGTCAAGGTCAGTTCCAAGTAATTCAGGACTGGCAAATACTATCATGCTACCATGTTGTGAAATATGAAACTCCTTCCCATGACTCTGAACAAGAATAAGCCTGCAATATCCACATTGAACCTTCTCCAGATACATGCTTGAAGCCTCATGTTTGATTCTTTCGAAGTGGTATGCCCGGCATTCCTGTCCACCTGATCTGAACGACCAGGACTAAGAACAAAAAATTAAATTTATATATGAAGGTTATCAGAATCTTTGTTCCTCCAAACATATTTCTGGCTCATAATTAGATGCTCATAGGCTTCAATCATAATCACTCCCATCCCATCACATGTCTTCCCCACCGTCACAACCCCGACCCCTTCACCTGGACCGGTGATGCGGCATGCGCGTCGTTCGTGGCGTCCTGGCGAGGTTTCTCCCGTCCGCCGAGCCGTTGTTTTGGTCGACCGGACTGGTCGACCAGGTCAACCAGGCAGGTCGACGCAGGTGGTCAACGAAGAGCAGATCACGGTTCTCAAAATCTGAAGAGATAGGAAGAGGAATCAGTCAGTGTTCCAGATGAATTGTTCGATTCACTGACAGACGGCTCCTTGCTGGGGCCCCCCCAGATCACTGAAGCAGCTGTTGTTGAAAGTGTTCCGGCATAAAGCTCCCTGACATTCCCCAAGCTGACATGTTGCAAACACCGTTGCTACCTGCTGACCAAAGTTTTCTAGGAAGGAGTCTGTATTCTGTATGTCCAACCTCCCTGAGCTCGGCCATAACTAACGACTTGAGGACTAGTAGCAAGGACGCTACTAGGTTGGAGGCCATCGCTACTAGGGTGGAGCCTACTAGTCGCAAGAAGCGATATCAAGGAAAACAACAACTCCGAAGAACCATCCAAATCGCCACGTCCCGATGCCTCACCTACCTCGCCTCAACTCCGGTTCGCCGGTTCGCTTCTGAACCGAATCCAAGCGACGGTCGGCACGTCGTCGGTCCTTGTCCTCACTCAATTTCTCCGTGGGAAAAGGCCTTGGCATCTTCGGTCGAATGGTAATGCTGATTTCACGATGAGAAGGTCTTACAAGGTGTCTGAGTGCACCTTCCAAAAGTATGAGGCAAGACTTCTACCGCGATGTTGTTGAGTTTCAGATGTGTGGTCATCTCTGGTTGCCGCTCGTTTTAGCTGCTTTCATCGTTTTCACTCGCCACATCCATCGTCGGAACTGCCAAAAATTACGGCAAACACTCCCGCAAGCTGCTTCTTGCTTCAGGGAGTGCAACGCACAAGGAATCCAAATACCAGTTGATAGCACCAGTATTTTCTACTTCCAAGCATTAGAGAGCCTTGTTCAGTGTGATATGCTTGAGCATCGATATGATTCGAATCAATAAAACAGGGTGATGATTGACCTTTTCCACCACGGTACTCCCAAAGTGGCTTCTCTACATATCCAGCACTCCTTGCTCCGTTCGTAGCGATGGCCTCCAACCTACTTGCGATGGCCTCCACCTAGTAGCTTCTTGCCACTAAGTCTACTCCAGGAGGCTTCTTTTGTCTTCATCGACTCGATGAGTCCGAACGCTCGGCTCGGCGCCTCGCCGGTCGGCTGGGCTCGGTCCGGTCAGTGCCAATTGGTCGCCGGTGGCCGGTCGAGTCCGACCGTCTCAAAGGTCTTAGCCTCTTGTCAAATGATCAAGTATTATGGCTATGGGTGAACCAGGGGGACCTTCCTGTTGACCAAACATGAAGCGCAGGGGAGGTGGGATGGTCTCACAACCTACGTGAAACGGGCTCCGGGTGCGACCCACAACCCGACGAGGTGAATCATCACCAATCATATCATTTGGGAAATCATAGAGGGGTCGATACCGGGTAGATTGGACTTGCTTGTACACGACCTGGGGGGGGTAGCCACTCCATGAATCAACCAACCAACTTAGATCAATAAGTAGCAAAATAATGTAAAAGGGCGAAGCGCATGCACCTACTATATACGTAGATTAAGATGCATGGACACACCAACAGTTCTCGTGAAACAGTTGACATGACCAGTGGATGATGAACGGCCAGTGAAACACAACATTTGGAGGATCAACCCTGAAGAGTCCCTGAAGGAAGCTCCAAAAGCCAAACATCCAACAAAAGAGTGCCAGAAACGCATGACTTCATCGTACTTTCTTGCGGCTGCAAAACACATCCATCCAAATTCTGTATGCTGCTGGATCCTTGAACATCAAGGATCTCGCAAACTGAACATCACCACTGGCTATTTCTCCTCCGGTCCAGTCCAGCCCAGCCGACCGAGACACCATTCGAACAGAGGGCTTCTCCAACGAAGTCCAGGAACGAACCATCTCCGAGATCCAACTGTGGACCCACCTGCCTGTAAACATGACCACAACTGAACTGAATTTGTTGGATGTTCAGTTGATTTCAACCAATCCAACCCACTAATAGGTCCTTTAGGTTCGCCAGGTGAATAGTTGCACCTGCCTTGAATGCGGGAACCCTGAGCAAAACGGATTCTCTTTTGATTCTGCAATTCACAATAAATTTGCTGAGATCACTGTTACATACGACAACGATATAGTCTAGTCATGTAGCATCACAACAGTGTGGATCGGAGATGCCTGCGTGTGCACCGAATTTGTGGGTGCTGCCCCGAGTGAGCAAAGTGTTTAGTGCAAAAGCTATTGGAGGTGCAAATCAAGACACGAGGTATCAAAGGTCTTTCTAAGAATGGTCTGTGAGAATTCCTGCAAGCATTCGCAAACGGCCTGCCGCGTCGGCACCTGACTCGAGTCATTTAGAGGATTGGTAAATTCCCATTGCGAATGTTGGTCAAGCAAGGTAACCCACGACTTGCGCAGGTGCCAATCCTTCCATCGAACAGGGCGGCCGTAGACCGTGCTGTTGAACGTGATTGATCCAGGCAAGGGAAACTCGCAGTGGGACATGTTCAGGAAGGCATGGCAATTGGTGCTGTTGCAAAGCAAATCAACTTGGAAGGGACACGTCCAATCAAAGCAGCAGTCTGTTGGGCAGGCCAGAAGGTTGCACTTGTTTTTGCGCCATTCCTTCTTGGCCAATTCAGGGGGGCAAGCTCCGTAATGTTCCCTCGCCTGCCATTGCTCTCCACCTCCACATGGTCGGCTACATGGATCTGCATCATACCAATCGCCAAATCTGCAGTTCTGGACGGCACTTGGATGCGTGAGTAGGACTGCAAGTCCGATTGCGACACCAATCACCAAAACTACGAGAAGAAGAATGCACCACTGACGGGTTGAGGGTGAGCACCGCCTCAGGGAAGTCTCTCCACCAGACGAGGTCAGAAGTGTCAATCGAGAGGATCCGCACTCAAGGTCAGTGCCAGGGGTGATGGTGCTGTCAGTGTTGTGGCCTTCACGGGCAAACATGTCAGTCAATCCGTCTAGACTGGAACAGTACATGCGAGGCTCCTGAAAATTCTTGGTCCTCAAAGATACATCGTGACGTACCCTATCTCTCAACGAGTCAATTGTGATATTGATCTCTGCTGTCAGATGTTCGATGAGGCTGGTGACAAAGGGACCTCGGCCAGCTCCCTCCTCGCCGTCATGTGCAAAGTCATTTGCTCCGGTAGACCACCACGTCGCATAGCGCCGCTGCATCCATGTGGGTAGAATGACTTCAGTGGCTTGTTGGTCCGCTTCTTGGATATTGCTGCGGCAGAAGTCACAGATCATCAATACAAAGGAATCAGCACGGCTCTCAAACCGTAGGAGCTGCTTCAGGAAGTCTTCCACAGCGATTGAGTGCTCATCCGTCAAGTCATTTGCTGACGCCGCGTCTTGCAGGCAGAACCTCACTTTCCCACCTGCTGTTGTAGAGCCGTGGCCTCCGAGGTAGACAACAATGATTTTGGTGTCCGTCGTCACACATCTCTCAAAACGGTCCAGTTTCTTGTCCAACTCTTTTCTGTTCTTCAAATGACAGAAGAGTTGAGTTTCATACCCCAAGTCTTTGAAAGCTGTCTGCATCGACGCTGCATCTGCTGCTGCATTTCTCAAAGGTCTGAAGACGTAGTCCTGAATCCCAAGGCCCAAGAAACAGCGACGTGAACTGCGCATTGTTCTGAGGCACTCAGCGATGTGAAGAACTCATTGTAAAGGCTAGCCAAGTAGAAGCGGCTATTCACTCTGAACGGTTGGCCTTGTGAAACCAGAAGCAAATGACCTGACTACGGAACAAATGGGCAAACCGACTGTCATGTCATGGCATTTGCAGGCAATCTGACTTGATTCATGGTCGCTATCATGTGTTGAGGACTCTGGTGTGCTGGTGGCTTCACAGCAACACACGAGTACCACTCGCACGTTAGCTGCTGTTGGAGCCACACAGACCTGCGGAGGTGCTCACTTCGTGGAGGTCCTTTGGAGATCCTAATCAAACCAGCGACAGCACGAAAAAGGAGGCCTTATCAGAGCGTACACGAACTCATCATGGTCGAACAGGAGTCCACGACCTGCTTGCTCTTTCGGAACATATGGTCATCCGAACTCGGGCCAATCCATGTAACCATGATGATTGACAACATGTCATTTGACTAAGGATCGACACCTGACAGGTTCGTCAACAAACCTGACGGGTTCGGCTGCCCTCTGGGCTGTCTGGGCGGGAGGAGCTGCTTGGATTGTTCGGCCGTCTCGCCCATGACCTCAGCACAGTCAGTCCGGCGTGCACGGCTCTGGTCTGACGCATGAGGGATGCCTTTGAGCGGAGATTCGTGTTGGGCGCTGTGGGAATCAATGTGGGCAATTTTTGCGTCGCCAAGGTGTGTGTGTGTGTACGTGTTTTTGTGAAGAAGCATCTATGACCCACGAATCAGGGCGTGCCTGACCTGTCCAAATGGGAGCACGTCTCCCTTTCGGAATCCACGAGGCCGCCCAAAATGACTTACGAACATTCACCTGGAAAGAACAAAACCCAAACCAGATGCAAGGTCCCTCTGTAAACCACTAGTGCACTGGCAATGTACACCCACTCAAGAAGATCACCGACGTATCTTCTGTTCCTGGTCACATGTGGCCGGATTGGAGGTTAGCGGAAAACGGAATCTTGGCCCCCGCAACGTGCTAGTTCAGCGAACCGCGGCGCCGCTCAAGTCGCTCCAAGTCGCTGGTTCAGCAACGACCTGTATGGAGCAGGAAGAACGCTGAGGCATCTGGGGCGGTGATTTCGTCTCGCAGCTAGGCCCTAGGCCTGGTGGTTTTCACCCAAACATACCCAAACCCAGATGTTGAAACACGATGAAAACGCTAAGTCATCAGATGTTGTCACGTCAGTTGAATTCGGATTCCAAGTAGGGAAAACCAATGTCCACAAAAAGATTCGGCGGGCCAACCACTGAATCACAGAAACTAGCCTCTCTTCGCCGGATATGCCCGCCCTTCGTACTTCCCGCCCAGCGTCCCAGGATTCTGAATCTGCGAAAACGCTACGAAGGCCTTCGTTCTTCCAACCTCATGCCAAAGGTCTTTTTGAGGTATAGCTATGAAACCCTTAAGGATGAACTCCACCACCTGGGGAGAGACCGAACACTCCGAGTTCGAGCCCGGCCTCATAGGGCTTGACGTGTTGGGAAGAGCTGAGAAGCGTTTGGAGGGCCTCCAGTGTTGCCAGAGGGCCACCAGTCGGGAAGAGGGAATAACGTGCAGAAAACACATGAATGAAGGGAATAACGTCTGAATAGAAACTGAATCATGTGCGTGTGTTGTCTTCTATTGAATATGCTGCACATCTTGCAAGCAAGGTTCTATCAATAGACAAAAAGCAACATGTATACGGAATGCTGACTGAAATTTGAGCCATTGGATGAATCAGCAACATGTATACGGAATGCTGACTGAAATTTGAGCCATTGGATGAATCATGAAGAATCGAAGGGTGCACGACATGCAATGAAAAGGACATACCCATAGCTTCTGATATACCCAAGATGCTACAAGAAACATGAACTGGGAGTGCTCCAAAGCAAGATCGCAGCATGATGTGTAGTATACCAAGTTGCGCAAGATAGATGAACATCCATGCAATGCACTCAGGCCCAACAGCATGAGGCTTTCGGACCAAGCCGGCTTTGAGCCACCTGATTGACGCGTCATCCTTGCGCCGGCCACACCCGGTGCCACACCCGCCAATAAACGCGCCTCCTTCTGCAGGACCTCACCCATTTCTTGGTCCAAGAAGAAAAATCTCTGGCCCCTCTCGGCGATCTCCTCGGCCAAGATGAATGCATCCGGTCACCATGTCCCATCAGCCTAGGTCAGCCAAGGCTTCTCCTAGGTTGTGATGTCGGCCTCTTGGCACGTAGTTCTAACGCACGCTCTCATCGCCCGCAAGAATCCACATCCACATTAGGGTTACAAGTTAAAAAAAACAATAATGTTGACGCAAAGAACACTTGCTTATTCTAAAAAAGGTCTTCCTGTTGGAGCACATTCTGTGCTTGGCAGAGTCTATTGCCCCACCAAATCCTCTTGAACCTTTGGCAATTCCCGAGGAAGATCGCAAAGAGCAAAGGGTGGTGATGATTAGACATGGTTTTGTCCACCAGCACCTCCAATAGATCTCCCGTCGTGGTTTCTGAGGGATGAGGACTGGGCTAGTAGGTCCCTAGAGGAGGTGCCTGAAATTTGTAACAGGTCTCCTGTGGGTGGGTGGGTGGGGTTCAAAGGTATACGGAATACTGCAATGGCCATACTTCTCCAAGCCCTCTGAACATGCTCATAATGCTCACACATGAGAGCAAATATGGATGCTATGTGGCATCTTTCAGCGCTGTGATATGGCCGTCATCGACACCCTCAACTTCTTCCGCTCCTGCATGGTATTCTTCCCGTCCGGATCCACGTTCCAAATCCGCCGGAGCTTGGCGTCGTAGACCACGGTCTGGACGGCTGAAGACGGCTGGACGCGACGCGACCCGACACGACGGACGCGGCGACAGGAAGAGGTCTGTCTGGTGCCTGGAGGGCGCAGGACAGATTCCGAAAGATCCGGCGCCTTCCTCCCGAAGCGACGACCAGCGCCCAGTCTTTTCTTTCGTCGCCCAGTCCTTTTCCCGGGTGCTCTTTGGAAGCACCAGGCTGATCATCAGTGATGCTTAGCTTTCTGAAGGTCCGTCTAAGGGTAGGGAGAGATAGGTTCAGTGCAGTTCAATGACCCCATTTTCGGACCAGAACGAGCCGGCATGCCTTACAAACAAAACTTGGTGGGTTTCACCGTTTTCACCCGAGTGAACATGCCAGGTGTCAAAGACAGAACTTCTAAGGTGGGCCAGCTGCATTGGTCCACACACCTGTGCGGCGCGAGTCTACCAATATTGTTGCTTCACACACCAGGAAGAAATGCTGCTCGCCGTTAACTGGGCTTCCTCCAAGTTATACCTACCTCATCCTACCTCTATCTAGCCCGACATCCCTTGAATCAAGCAGCCGACCCGGCGAAACAATCAGCCAAGCTACAATTTGGCCATTCTCCTGCTGCTGGCAATGACCCAGTTGTCAATTGACAATAATACTCTGTACTCATCACAAGTATAGCAGGGTGAAGCCATCACGGCTGTGAAGGTTGCATCAGGGTGGCAATGTAAAGTTGCTTTACCTGCGGGGATATGGATTTCTTAGTCCTCCTCTCGACTCAATATTAGCTCCCGTTTGATTGCTAGTCATTCACTACATGATGGACCCCAATAATCACCCCTCGTGCATCTCGCACGAGACTTAAGCCACGAACTCGCGTTGCCCAAAAATGCTCGGGATAATTGCAGATCTGTGGGACAACGGGCGTCTTGCTGGTTCAGTCATGATGCCAATTTGCAAAAAAATACTATGATAGAAAAAAGAAATATAAAGCAACAAAACATAATTCCTTCCAAGAAGCAAACATGACATCTGTTCCATCCAATTGCAAGACCGTCCATCTATATGAAGGTTCTGTTCGAAGGAGACGCCAGTCCTGATTCTGGTAAAGTTCGGTCACCCAGCGTCTTCTCTGTAACCACAGATTCCGCATCAGGAACGAGTAGCCAAACTGCACTTGGACGATGGCTAAAAGCAAACCTGGCAAGCGCTATAGGCCCCGAAAGCGGCCGTGCCTGGGATGATATCACCTCCCTGTAAGTTCTCTCAATCACTTGGCGACAAATCGGAAGATGTCACAAAAAAGAAGCACTATGAGGGGCGAGGAATGATGAGGATATGATGTGGCCCTACACTTTGTGAAAAGATCAAACATGTACACAAATTTGGCAGGATGAGGATGTTGACTTTCGATTAAACGGTCGTTCTCAGCGGACGCGTTCGTTGACTTTGTTGGGAAGTGCTACTACATCTGTTTCAAAAGAGGAATCAACTAGTATAGCAATTGCAACTTGATCTTCAACAATGCTCTCCTACTACAAAGTCATTCAGGGAACACTGTTTCAAGATGTTTCTTAAGCCAACCTGTCTTGGTTGCTCCAGATCTCGAAAGCCGGGAAGACTACAACAAATGGATCCCGCCTACCATGAACAAAGCAGGAGAGACGAGGGGCGCCAGTCCTGAGTGCGAGCACGGACGTGGCGAACACCTCGCGCTACGAGCCAGTCCCATCCACTTGCGATCACCTGATCTGCTCAAAAAGACCCAGAATATGGTTAGATCAATAGAACACATGTGTTTGTTTCTTTTTAAAATGTGTTATTCTTGGTTCCGGTATATTATACATGTGGTTTGCTCTTCTAAACTGGTCAAGGTTTGTTCACCCAGGCTCGCTTAATTGACAAACAGGTCAGAGTCACACACACAGACTTAGGTTTGCTGTCCAGCAAGACAGTAAAAAAAAACACATAGATTCCCTGGGTATTCCCCAGGTTTTGGGATTGAATCCCAGGTTTCGGGAGAACAAAAGAGAAACACATCACCGCCGCAAAACTACGCAGAATCGACTCCAAAAGCACATCAACGTCAGCACCAAAAAGCCGGTGACGAAAACCGTTCCGTTCCTGTTCACTGTGCCACACCGTTCCAAAAAAGGCCTTGTCACGCGCACCACATCGCCCCGTGGACGTGTTTGTTTGCTTCACCGTCCAAGCGCAGAGGACACCGGTGAAGTCACCGGGTTCGGTTTGGACCATTTTCGACCAGGTCACCCAGAAAGGCAGCGCCCATGCCACTGGCCATGCCAAAGGTGGCCAGGCCTGGATGGGTCG